TAGGGAAACCTATTCATTGGGAGAAGGAGGCTCTGGAAATTGTCACTTGAGTTAAAGAAAAGCATACTGTGCACCTAAGACATTCTGGTCCCTGTGCTGAGGACCCCTCCACCAAAGAGGTGACAATCTACAGGAAGAAATGGAATTGCAAACACAATTACAATTCAATGTGATGAACAGTGATAAGAACATGTACAGGGCGCTGTAATACTGAAAAACACAATAATGAGCTCTGAGGATGTAGAGGTGGAGTCAGCAAGGAAGCCTTTAGAGGGTAGATGAAACCTGATGACAGAAGGTAAATATTCCCAAGGGACCCTGAGACGGTTCTATGCCAAATGAAAGGGGTAATAAGGGACACTGGAAAAAATGAAATCTTGCTATTTGTGACAACCTGGATGGACCTCTCGGGCACTGAGCTAAATGAAATAAGTCAGTATACTCTCTCTTATATGTGGAATCTAAAACAACAACAACAACTGGACAAAAAAAACAAGCTCAAAGATACAGATATAACTGATTGGTTTTTGCCAGAGACTAAGTGGGGGTGGGGGTGGGAGAAAAGGGTGAACCGTTGTTGTTGTTTTTGTTTAGTTTAAATAAATTTAATTTTTTAATGACTGAATGAGAGAAAGGGAAAAAGAAGGGACATTAGCTAATGTAACTGTCATCCCATCTGGAACAACCTGGGAAATTAATTGCAAGAATATGCACCTGCTTCAACCCTATGACTTCCCAGCAGGACTTTTCTTCTGTAATTCAATATTATTCTAAAAGTATTGCCATCTCTCAGGCAGTACTGGGTTACACCCCCCCAGGCCAACCAAGCTGTGACTTTCAGTAGGTTGTCCTGGGGAAGGGAATCTGTTCAGAGGTGAATATCTAGAAAAATATGGCAAACAGAAATAAAAACAAACAAAAAACTCCCATGCAAATTCCTGAAAGTACAAAAACACGCCTACCCTCCCTACTCAGAAACGAAAGGAAAAGCACCACAATAATACAGTTGAAAGGTGCCTCAGTCACTGCAGGCACAGGAAAATTGTATGCAAACATGTAATGGCCTCCATTCTGCACACCTGGAAGCGGATCGGAGCAGCCCCTTGGAGCTAATACCAAACCTACCAAAGAGCAGTCCTGGATATCCACCTGGCCTTGGCTACTAGCTCTAAGAGGGAAACAGGTAACACCAACACAAACCCCAGACCAATAGTTCTTGAGGCTCTTTTCCTCTTTCCACGCCAGTTGCATGTATAATTCTGTAATCAGGCACAGTGAGACCCCATGCTCCGAGCAATGTGGCACCCTCTCTCCTCTCGTTGAGAATGACTGCCCTGATGCACAGGAATGCAATAGAAAACTGAATGCTGAGCAAATAGTTAAGTGAGAGAAAACCCTAACTAGAAAAACCCTAATACAAAACCCCAGCAAATATCCATACATCAGCCTCCTATATCTCACCTCCAATCTCCTAAATCGTCATATTCATTTTATTATTCCTCCATGTGGATCAGGAAGAATCAATTCATTTATTTGTGTTCAAATACACTTCTTGGTTCTCCCATAAGGAACAGCCCCCATTGATGGGTAGTTACCACTAAAAGGTGGAGTCACAATGGGCCAGGCAGGCCTAGAATGGGCACAGCAGGGCAGTTGCCATCTTGTTTATACACCAAGGGAATGACCTCTAAGCAAGCAACAGCCATCAGATTAGTAATAAAAGGAATCTGTCAGGCACTCCGAGATGGCAAGTCACGCCATCTGGTGGAATCAACAGTGCATCTCTAGAAACTCAAAGCCAACCTGCCGAAAAAGGAGTAGAACTGAAATTTCTGGTGTGGTGGGAAAAATACTTTGGTACTCTAGTACAATACTTCGGTACTCTTTAATTCTGGAAAAGAAAGGTCTCAGCTGATTTGCTCACATAGTAACTTCATAAATTAACATGCACCTTGTTAATGACACTCAAATTAATTGATGCGGTATCCCTAAGCACAAAGTTCAATTACAATTGAAATTTGTAATTACATTCTACAAATTTAGAGCTTACTACAGCTTCTCCCTAAGGACCCTTCAGTTCTGTGATTCCGTATCATCTACGGCTGAGGCACATTGGATTCTAATCAGACATGGCTGTGCTGATGAACTCTCAGTAAAGGCTGTACGGGAACTCACTTTAGGAAAAGTTATTAACTCATTCAGCAAACATCTGTTGACTATCTATAATGTGCCAGCAACAGTCCTAGGCTGTGTGTATAACTTTAAAAGGTAAAGATAGTGGGAAAAAGGGGTTGGAGGGTAGGGTGGTCAGAGGTCTCTTGGAGATGATATTTGAGATCCAAACAGTCTTCTCATGATGAAATTTGTTTTTAAAAACAACCATTCCAGAACATATATCTAGATGAGCCTTTTTCAAAATCCTTTTGGGACTTCTCTCTGGTTTTTGCCTTCAAAGCCAGTGTGTGAAGCCCATTAGGAAAAACAGGCTTACCTCAAAGCAGCATCATCCAGCTTTAGTACCACCTCTTTCTTTGACCCTAAATATCTTTGGGATATTTCTTAAAGTTAATCCAGTCTCAGTGTATATAACCTAGCATTTTGGTGGGGAAATGTGCAATAAGTGTCTTCTTGATGGATAGTATCGCTAATGAACACACCTCTGGCAACTGTGCTGTTCTTTTGCTGTGAAAGTCCTCATCCCTCTTCTTCTAGGTAAGGATCTATGAAACAGTAGCAAAGGCAGGAGGAAAGTGGAAGAAAAGGATAGTACTGAGACAAAGGGAGGGGTAATGGATTAAAGAACAAAACCTGAAAAATCGCTCCAAAGCATCTTCATAGTTCAGCTTTCTAGACCTATGTTCCCATTAGATCTCCAGGGTATCCTCTCCGTGGGTCAAGCAACCCACTTTCCATAAATCTAGTTTCCCCTATCTTTCCCTGGTGAAATTAAGGAGTCGGCCAATGGTAAAACAATGATGTGACTCAAATTGTTACACAGTACTACCACCTCCAGTGTGTTCTCCATTCCACATGTAAAAATTATTTCTAACTTCCCTGATGTCAAAACTGTCACTAATATGTATTAATCCAAAGCATTATAGGTCTTGTATGAATCCTCAAAGTGAGCAGGGTTAGATCTATTTATCCTATTTATTACACCTATTTTTGCAGAGCTTGATATCATGCTTCCTTTGTATTTTAAAGTCATAATTAACCAATAAAAACTTAGTCTCAATGGAGCAAATCCAGGCAGAAAAAGACTTTTTTTGTATTGACCAAAGCATTCAACTAAGTCCATAAGAATCCTGAGAAACAATGTAGGTATATTCCAAATAGCCAACATTCGTGTCATAATCAGTTGAATGAAGAAATATCAAAACCTCTTCACGCACGTAAAAAGAAATGAAGTCTCTTAGCTCAAAGAGGCATGCTGAGCAACATACTTACTCTTTAGAATGTACCAGATGTCTTTATATCTCTGTATTACTTTTATAAATAACATGAGATAAAAATGAAGATATTTCCATTTTTATTTTTAAAAGGTACATAAAGGAGGGTCCAAAGGAAGTCTCCAAATGAGACCAACAAGCTCCCAAATCTGTGTGTAACTATCAAAATTTCTGAGGTCAGCAATTAAATATTTGCTTTAAACTTTCTATTAAAGTAGAACAAAAAAGAAACACAGCACAACTTCTATAGGGATATCGGGATAGTCATTAACAATAAATCTGGCTTGGTGTAAACATGACTATTATTATATTTCCTCCCCTTCCTGGGGAGACATAGCCAAAAATGCTTAAATTAGCCCCAAGATGGTAATAGAAGTATAACCCGGGCCATCAAGTCAATCTGTACTAAACATTGATTTATCTGCAACTAAATGTTAATTTCTTTCTAGTTCAGAAATACACCTTTAATAATTTTTCAATAGCTTGGAAGATCCAAATGCCTAAATTAAGAATGCTATTATGCCTTAGTCCATGAACAGGCTTGCTATAGCCCAAATGTCCTTTTTTTCAGGATAAGAAGTTTGTTTTTTCTGATGTTACCATCACATTTATTCAATATCATGAGGTAACATCATGACTTACAAATACCATGGTTATCATTAATAATAATGCACAAAACAAAGAAACCGAATTCCCTGATACTTAGTAGAAACACTATGCCATTCCCAGAATATGAATTTACTGCTTCTGTGAATACTGTTTATTTTACTGTTGTTTTTTTTAAAATAAATTTGTTTGTATTTTTGGCTGTATTGGGTCTTCATTGCGGTGCATGGGCTTCTCATTGCGGTGGCTTCTCTCATTGTGGAGCACGGGCTCTAGGTGGGAGGGCCTCAGTAGTTGTGGCGCACAGGCTCAGTTGCTCTGTGGCATGTGGGATCTTCCCGGCCCAGGGCTTGAACTCGTGTCCCCTGCATTCTTAACCACTGCACCACTAGGGAAGCCCACAATTTTACTGTTTTCTTTGCAGAAGAAATACATAGCTGGGGCCAATTTTAGAATCAAACCCCCATTCTCTAAGAAGGGCATTTCATACGCTAAGAACTAAATTCTTTTTTCTAATACCAAAATGTGGTTTACAATTATTTTTATCCCCTTACCATTCCTTCCGCTTCAGTTAGTTGTGGTGTAATTTCCATGTCACATAACCTTTTTTTTTTTTTTTGCGGTACGCGGGCCTCTCACTCCTGTGGCCTCTCCCGTTGCGGAGCGCAGGCTCAGCGGCCATGGCTCATGGGCCCAGCCGCTCCACGGCACCTGGGATCCTCCTGGACGGGGGCACGAACCCGCGCCCCCTGCATCGACAGGCGGACTCTCAACCACTGCGCCACCAGAGAAGCCCCACGTAACCTTTTTAAACCACATAAATTTGTGCAGCACCTTTAAAGTTTAAGTGCTTCTACAAAAACACCTGATTTAATTCTGGAAATCCTGCTCAGTAATACTGAAAATAATGTAAAATACAATATAAAATTGAACCAAAATATCTTGTAACATTTAAAAATTGCAAATATATTTATTACAATTTACAGATTAGCTAAGTTATATACACAAATATAATTTTAGCTATAAAGTCCCAACAAACTGGTTACATTTACATCATTCGATCTGTAGAAGCCATTTTAGATGTCTTCTAGTCCCCTAACTTCACCTTCCTTAAATTATAAAAAAATAAAATCTGATAGTTTTGATTTCAAGTTAAAGATGACGAGATGGTGTTATCACATTTGAACACTCAGAAAGGGAAATTTTACTTGTCTGTACAAAGCCTTTCATATGCTACATTGATACTTAAAGCACCATCGCAAGACTTTTAGGTGTGTAAAATGTTCAGTTAAAACTTCCAAGGATTTTAAGACTGAAGGTTTAACTTTGTTCTAACAACTAGAATCGGAATGAAACTGGTAAGAATTCTGTTTCTTCCCTTGTCCAACTTTAAAATGGTCCCTTTTGTCCTTATCACCGCCTGATCACTTCTTTTAAAGAAGGGTAGTAAATGGGAGAAATCTTCACCAAGCTTTTACGTATTTGGTAGTGAGGTTGGAATCTCAAGGGAATAATTCTCCAAAATCCAGTAAATGTAAAGATATCCCATTATTTTCATACATGCAGAGGTGCAAGATTTCAGAAACACAAAACACAACCTAAGTCTCTGAAAACAGTATACTTCAGTCTGGTTTTAAAAGAATGCCTACACATTTTCAAAGTTTTCTTTTCAAGGCAAGTGACACCTTCTTTCCAACCGACACAGCTGGTGTTTGAAACTTAGCTTATTTCCGTGTTGTTACACCAGACTCTATAAATGCATTCCCTGTGATTACCTAAAATGCAGGGGCACAAACCACATTGAAGAAGGGCTCTGCAAAAATCTGACTTTTACTTGTACTCTCAGTGTGTTTAAGTATGAATATATATATACACATATATATACATATTAACACTAGAGGCAGTTCTTAGAGCAACCCAAACAAATAAAATAATGACCAGGTAGATTATAAACTGAGGTAGTAACCCTGCAAGCACTTCTGATGAAAAATTTGTCCCCACTCTGAAACAAGTTCAAAATTAAGAGGTCATCTATTCTATTCATGTTTTCCATTACCTGTGACAGGAGGCACATGAAACAAAAATAGACCATTAAGGAGTTGGTTAACATTCCCTCAACCTAACAAATGCACACCATGTAGAACTAGCTAAATAAACCAAACACAATCAGTCACTGCAAAAACAGTTTGCTTTGGAAAATGAACATTGTCACTTTTGTTTATTAAGGATATCAGCTTTTTTCAAGTGGGAAAAAAAACAAAAGTAAACTTTGGGCTGAAGATATTAAGACTTTCTATTTGTTAAATCTATAGTTCTTTCCTGAAACTATAGGCCTTGCCATTACTTCTCTCACTATTAAAAAAGGAGAACACAATAAACTTGGATATTGACCGAAGTCTACATTTTACATTTCAAACTGGAAAATTAAGAACTGCCCATTTCCAAGTTCACAGTGCCATCCTGACAGGTTTTAAAAGTGACGGTGCTGAGGCATATTAATAACACTGGTTTTCTTTTGAGAGCACATACAACAAGACCAAATTGCTCTGAGATGTCTCCTATCTTCTTCCTAGGAAAATTCTAAGCTTTTAAATTTAAAAGCAACTATGATGCAATTATTGCTTCTGGAGTCTTTTACAACAATTTCTACCTATTGAAGACACAAAGAACCACCCAAGTGGGAACTATAATAACATATACAGAACCTTCTTCAAAAAAGAGTTTGCACAGAAATTAAGTATATCAGATGTTAAAATTTGGCAGAAATATGCAGCTTTCCCAAAGTAACAGAAAGTACTGCACATATAGGTTTTGTGGCAGTCCTTGGAAATATCCTAGGTAGAGCTTAATCTAGAAATAAAAACCCACCACCTATTTTCAACCAGTCATTTTTAGAAAGAAAGAAAAAAAACCACAATGACACAAGATAATGTACTTTAAGTTGGTAGTATATACAAGATTATTTTCTTAGCCTTGAAGTAGAAGGACCAAATTACTGAAACAAAAAAATATAGAGAAAACATAACAGCCCATTAATTTCAGAATGTTCAGAGGGAAAAAAGAGCCCAAAGTTTTTAGACAGGTACACGTAATTTAAATTAGAATGAAAAATGGGCTTCAAACCCTATAAATATTGTTTCCCAAGAAAATAAGTTTTCAAAGTGCAAAATTACACCTTAAGAGGTCCCCTTTTCACTTCAGCAAGCAAACAACATTCAAAAACAAATCCAACTAAACAAAAAAGGAGAATTGGAAATCACACCATCTCATCCTTCATTTTCAGGGCTTGGCTTCAAACCTGTACATTTCTGAGTGGGATATGTTGCAAAAAAAATATATTAAACTAGGTCACTGGATCCAAGTTGCATATACTCTAAGAAAAATGTCAAAGGACAGCTGCCAATTTTTGTTTTTAAAAGAAACCTCTCAAGTAAGAGGTAGTGTTTGCTAAGGCCAGAGGCTGTCACATCATCTTAACATTGCTCGAAAACATTAAGTCCTTTGAAGCACATTTCCTGGAGTCTATTAAACATTTTTTCTCTGTGCTCAAATGTCAAGCAGTATCCAATAGCGTCTTCTGTTTCTTGAATTCGTTTCTGGAACCTGCATCCATCCCGTGCAAATTCTTCCCATGGTCCTTTTCGATCCTCATCACCACTTATATAATACTCAGTAACTTCTTCAAGGAAGGTTACCTATAAAGATATAGACTAATTTTAATCTCAAATATAACAGAAGCACAAGGAAGGAATGAAGGGAGGAAGGAAGGGAGGGAGGGAGGAAAGAAGGAAGGGTTCTAACTGACTAGATGGCACCTGAATAAAACAGTGGGCACACACACACACACACACACACACACACACACACACACACAGTCCCATCCCGCATCCATTATCCGGTCAACCCCAGACTACCCCCTCCGGGTTTTGGTGTTAAAAATGAATCCAGATGGGTAAGTGAAATTCTCCTGATGTTATTAATCTTTATTTTTTTTTAATCTTTAGGGAAATCAATTCTGTGATACTCTTCCAAATGACAAATGTTTCCAAACAAAGTATTTCAGAAATATATTCCTGGAGTCAACGCTTTTATTACAACACAAAAGCTTTAACAAGATCATCACTTACTTCTATTCTTCCTTTTTCCAAAAAAATTTCACTTTTCAGTGCTTTCCAATTCTTGAATCATAAATATGTAGTATTATTCTTATATTATTACTTTTGTAATAAGAATACGGAAGAGAGTTACTTAATAAACAAACTGCAGCAAAATTAACGTATCTTTAAAGTTATGTTACTATAAGAGAGACTGTAAAGATAAAAACCCTCTTTGTATTCCTCCTCAATATGCTATCACTACATATACATGAAATTGAGAACATTACAATATACATGATCACATGGAGTGACAGTCCCTTTTAATCCCTACTTAATTTCTAATATAGAAGTTTTTCTTTTTTATCAAACACCAAAAGTAAAAACTTGTTTTAAAATACGTTCAATAGTTACATCAGCTAATCCCACTGTGACCTACTACTTTCATTCCCTTTACATCAGGCCAAGGAATGCCCCCGAGGACAACTAGTAGGTATGTAATACCTTAAAAGTTATTGCATTCTAGTGTTACTCATTGTGTCACCAAGATAAATAACAACAACAAACATTTATATAGTGGTTATCATATGCCAGGCTCTTTTCGAAGTACTTAGCAATTTTTATCTCACTTCATCATCATATCATCTCCATTGTACAGATAAGGAAATCAAGGTAGGTAGGTTAACTGACCTGTTCAAATCACACAGCTTCTATGGGTGCAATAAGGATTCAAACCCTGAGTCTGGCTCCACAATCTGCACGTTATGCCACGACACAAAGCATTTTAAACTCCCAGATCTGAAAGCCTCATTCTAAGAAGCAGGCACTATCCGTTATTCCCGTATCCCTAAAGAATGGCATCTAGTCAAAGGCTATAAATAATTTTACCATATCGCAGACATAATCCTTTGTAAATGTTGCTTCTAGTTCATAGTAACAGCTGAGACACATCTACTTGACTCATCTCAGTCTTATTCAATGAGCAAGCTAAAATGAGGCATGAGATTGGCCTGAGGTCCCGAACAAGAAAGAGCTACCATTTTAAAGTCAAGGCAACTAACTGTGAGTTTTAGCTACTCACCTCATTTAAACCGTGCAATAATTCATACAATAGTTATTATTATTATTATTACTTCCATAAGATAAATAAGTGAATCAAAGCCATGAGAGGTCAAGTTACTTCCTAGCTCTGGCTGTCTTCCCAAATCTCTTGGCCCTAACTACTCAGGAGTGGGGAACAAAGGTCTCCACGTGCCAAGTGCTCGTTCCATTGCCCCATTTCGCTTCTTATCTATTCACTAAATAGGTCATTTTGTCAGGGACCCTTTAAAAATATAGAGGAAAACTCTTTGATGACAGCATTTACAAAAGTGTAAACTGAAATTTAATTTTTAATATGCCTTATTCTGCTTCTACGGCTAAGACATAAGATTACCACCATTTAGGGACATTTTCTACCCCTGGAAGAGTTTCAAAGTATTAAGCTGGTCACTTGGAGCCAGTGGATGGTTCTTTCCACTTGAAACTTTGATGCTGCTGAATCTGAGGTCAATAATAATTTACCTACACCTTTCTCTTTCCAAATATAAGAAGAAACTTTCCCTTCACAATAAAAGGTACCCTGTTTGTCTGGGGGGATCACTCTCCAATTAATAACTTCAGTTGGATAAACAATAGAGAAAAAAAAAAAAAGCAATTCAAAAGACTCCCAAAATAAGGTTAACTTGACAACGTGTTGAAAGAGTAAAATAAAATGCTCCATGAAGTTTTAAGACTAGCCTGGGAATAGGAAGCAACTACTCAAGAAAACCAAATAAATGACCATCATTGTTACAAATGATTATTAACCTGTAGCTGGCCAATGATAACTAGTAATGCTTTCTCAAGAAAAGGCAACACTATTTCCTGTATTGTCTTTGACTGTCAATCAAAATCCCAAATGTCCAAAAGTTTTTAATACTGAAATTAGTATTTTCTTTCATGGCAAACAACCAGACAAATATGACTTGCTACTTGGTACCATCATCCCTTTGGGTTCTAACGGACAGGAATGAAGACACTGTTATCATGTACCTACAACACTAAGTGTCTGCAAACACCACATTTATTACCATTTAAAACTCTACGGCTATAATAAGACCGTCTCAATCTCTAGAATTAAATCGTGTACACACAAGGTTTAATTTTTCTGTTTCTTAAAAAAAAAGTGCAAAGTTTAAGCTTGGAGGAAAACAGCCCAGAGCTGCCAATCCAAAAGAAAACAGCACCTTCGAGCTAACATCTATACAATGGCACCTTCAATTCAGACAGGAACAACACTCTAATGAGGGAAGTGGGGGGGGGGTGGAGGAGGCTCATTTCTGAATCCAAGTATATGAGCTTGCAGTCCTTCCTCAAAAATATGCACTATTATGCCTCCAGGAAAGACATGCTGATATCCTTAATCACATCAGAACAGGCAATACAAATTATCAGGCATGTTAAAAGAAAGAAACAAACCTTTTTTCTCTGGATATGTGTGTGTCTTGCTCCAGAAAGAAGCCCACCCTGTACCAAGTCCGGACATTCACTTTTTCGGCTCCCTGACAGTTGCACCTTACAGGAAAGTAAGGTGTGACACTCAGAAATGGCCACAATAGACTCAGACGGCCTCTCTGAGTCTCGACAGCCTTTCCAATTTTTCCCTGATGTTTGAAAAGGAGCCTTAAAATTTAGAAGGTTGTAGGGGTCATCGGAATTACAGAAAGAGTTCCACAGTTTGAGACTCTCTGCTTCATCTGCACTAGACTCCCAGTCATCTTCTTCTCCAGAATTACGGTCAGGAGACTCAGGAAGGCTTGCAGTCCAGGGAGGATTTTCTAGATTAGACTTGTCAGACAAATCCGTCTCTGAGTCAGAAGGGTCTCTGGGAAGAATTCTGGCAGCAGTCTGAATTGTTGCTGTGAAGTTTTGGGGATTATAAGGATCGACACTATAGAAAGAGTTCCAAAGGTGGAGCCCTTCTGAGTCTTGTTCAAGGTCTGATTCTGAGAGTGAGCTATCGCTATCAAAACCATCATCCCCAGCGTCGCCATCCCACTCCTCACCTTCTGAATCAGAACCTGTTTCCAGGTCACTGGCTGCACCTCCCAAAATGTAATCTATCAATCTGTTGCTACAGGCTGGTCTGGCAGAAATGGGAAGGTCATAGTCTATGTCTGAGGAGTCAATTACACTTATTTGGTCCTCTCCAGGCTCCTGCTCCGTAGGAACCTCACAAGATAGACAGCCTTCCGAGGTGCCCTGTCTCTCCAAAGCAAGGGTAACCTCTTTAATCAACAATTCTACTTTCTCCTCAGTGGGTTCCTGAGCGGTGCCGGGAACGGCTCCAGCAGCGGGAACACACTGTGTTGCGCTATCTCTGCGGTGCTTCAGATCCATCCGGAGCAGGCTGTGCTCTTCCTCCAGGCTGTGGTAGCCATGATCTTGGTCAGGGGTGGGTAACGCTTGGCCCTTGCTGGCCTGCTGAAGGAATTCCAGCCGCTTCATGCGAAGATGGTGGATTTCGGGCAGCCCTTCTCTAGAGAGAGGCGCACATCCCTGCAAAGAGACGCAAGCCATCTCCGCGTTGAGTGGCTGGGGATGAGACGGGACCTCATCCAGGCAGCCGCTTTCTGGGCTCAGCGCCTGGAAATCGACCAGCTCGCCACTTCCAACGCTGCTCTGATAGCTCAGCTCTACCCGGGGCAGGCAGTCCAGATAGGAGGGGTTCAGCAAATAGGAGACGACGTCGACATTGCTTAAGCGCTGAACGTTGAGAGGCCCGGAGGGCAAAGGGCCAAGTTCCCGGCCGGAGAACAGATTGGCTTGGAGCTCCACTCCCCACAGCTGCTGCTCTAGGAGAAAAGCGTGGGCTGCGGAGTCCAAAGTTCCTCCCTTGGCTTTAAGTTCCAATTTTAGATCTGGGGACGAGCAGTGCCAGTGGATGCCCTCCTCTAGCCAATGGAGGGGAACGGCGGCCGCGTCAGCCGAGGGGTCTAGCCGCAGCGAGCTCAGAGATTTCGGCGCTGTGGGGGCGTCGGGTTCCTCCCGGGCCCTCAGGGCTCTCAGCACGCTGTAGCCTCCAGCAAAATCTAGCCATCTGGTCGGAATCATCCCACCGAAAAGCTGGCTCCAGATCAGCAGCTTCTGAAGCAAGCCGGGGAGCGGCGCAAAGAGTTGGGAAAGCAGCTGCATCCACGAGCTGCGCCGAGCCTCAGGCGGGGGACAAGAAGCCAGTTTGAGATCCCCGGAGTGTTCCGGGGCAGGAGGTGCGGGGAACTTGGAAGTGCCTGGTCGCGAGCGCCGAGGGAAGAAGAAGGGCAGCCGGAACCGGGAGTCCGCCCGCGGGGCGGCCCGTTCCCGCGATGCGTCTGCTGCCGGCTCCATCTCCGCGTTCTCGGCAAGTCTCTGAGGGAGGAACGTAAAGCTCAGCGGCGGGCGGCCGGGAGGGACTCCAAAAGGCCTACAGAGTCTCAGCCTTGCCCAGCGGCGGAGTTGATGCCCCAGGCCGATCCCCGGGCCAACAGAAGAGCCACAGAGGAGAGCGGCTTCGGCCGCGGGCGGCAGACCACAGTCCGGAACGGCGGGCACAGGACGCGGCGGCCGAGGCGACATCCATCCTTGCGGAAACGAGGTGTCCTAGTCCTCTCCAGCCCTCTCCACCATAGATAGAAACCCTTCCGCGGCGGCGGCGACTTGCCAGGAGAGACTGACCGTGGAAAAGCCCCTCAGCTAAGCGACCCCGGAAGGGCTGGGCCGGCTGGCTGGTGGAAGCGAAGCTCAAAATGGCCGCAGGGCCAGCGCCGAAGCAGGACGCCTCCAAGCAGCGGACGAGACGAAGGAGGGCGGACGGCTACGCCACCAGCTCAGGGCCGCCGAACGTCACTCGCAGGATCAGGTGGGCGGGCCTTTCCGCACTCTTCCTTGTGGCCGCTGATTGGCCTCGCTCAGGTCCCTGTCGGCTTCCTTACTCTCGGTAGACGCAGCTCGCGCGAGGGAGATTGCATCAGCCAGGCCCAGCACTACGCGTGCGCACTTGCGCACTTGCGCCACCAGGAAAGTCTATTTTCCTTTTTAACTCTCATCTTCTCATGAGTACATAGTGGACGTGTACCTTCTAGAGGACACATGATATGGGATCTGGTAACAGACTGAATGCAAAAGCAGATATGAGATCCTAGATGTCTTTTATAAAGGCAGATATTAAAGACATTTGTAAAAAAAAGTAAAACAATGCCACTCTTCTTGCTAGAGTTTTTTGTTTTGAAAAAAAATTTTTTCATTAAGAGTGTCATTTATGTTGGGGCTTCCCTGGTGGCGCAGTGGTTGAGAGTCCGCTTGCCGATGCAGGGGACACGGATTCGTGCCCCGGTCTGAGAAGATCCCACATGCCGCGGAGCGGCTGGGCCCGTGAGCCATGGCCGCTGAGCCTGCGTGTCCGGAGCCTGTGCTCCACAACGGGAGAGGCCACAACAGTGAGATGTACGCGTACCGCAAAAAAAAAAAAAAAAAAAAAAAAAGTGTTATTTATGTTAACATGTAACGGGTTTGTTATTTTTAAATTAATAAATATTTTTTTAATTCTTCAGGTTTGAGTTCTAAAACAATAATTATCATAGATATAATTTACATATGCAAAAGTTCTTTGGGGTCCTCAACAATTCTTAAGAGTGTATAAAGGAAGGGGTCCTGAGACCAAAAAGTTTAGGAACCACTGACGTAGCATGTTGACTGGCACATAACAGGTGCCAGTTTGTTGAATGAATGGAAGGGTAATAATACTTTAAAATAACAGCATCTTCCTTATGGCCAAGACTTTTACATTCCACTCTCAAATTTATCACTAACACCATGAGCCTCCCCCCAAATATTCCTTAAAACATCTTGAATGGGTCTTTCCTTCCCCATCTAGTCATTGGATACATACTTTTTATCTTCCTTACCTTGGAAGTTGCTCTAAAGGGAAAAAACGCAATCATAAAGTACTGGAAAACTCTAAGAATATGTGACTTTGCCTTGTCAGTCTCTGCAGGAAACTAAAGTGGGAACCATCTCCTGCAGCCCGCTATCAACCAGGTGGCAGAGGGAGGGCAGCTCTGTTCGCAGAGATAGCGCTGTGTCGCCAGGGCTGTGTGCGTGCTGGTGAAGACAAGAAGTCTTTAGACAGTCCAGCTGACTGGCGCTTTGGCAGAAGATAATTTAAACCTCAGCTAATTATGTTTATTTTTAAAGATTTTGCAGGGCCTGAGGTAAAGGGTGTATACCTTTTCACTTCATTTTTCAGTCAGTACCACCTCCAAAATCTTTTTCCGAGTATCCCACACTCCGGAAACCACCTCCTATCTTTCCAGCTCGCTGCCTTGGAATCCCTATTCAGGTACTTATCACCGCCCCCCACCCCCCCCAACCTCCAAACCATTGCCATTACCACTTTTTTGTGATTCATCACCCTCCTTCACTTCCCTCCTTACCCAAGCATGAATTCCATGGTCCAGTATGAAAACTACCCCCTTGCAAAGACCCTTCATTCTTGTGCTCTACACCAATATTCTTCTCTGGCAAAACCCCAACCCTAGTGAAACCCAACTGTCCACTTATTCTGAGCCTACCCCCTTGCAGCTAGCCATTGCTGGAGAAAAGCACTCAGACATGCTGACTGACTCACTTCCTATTTGTAATGACAAATTTCATCCATGCCGGGCATTCCTGGATAGTTCCTTTTTTTTTTTGGCAGCACGGCATGTGGGATCTTAGTTCCCAGACCAGGCACCGAACCTGCACCTCCCTGCAGTGCAAGCGCAGAATCTTAACCACTGGATCACCAGGGAAGTCCCCCTAGATAGTTCCTTAGCAGCTTTGCATCTCCTACACTGAGACTGTTTCACAATGTTTATTCATTAAGCTGGTGGAACACTCACATTAACATGGGTTAATATCACCTATCTTAAAACAAACAAGCAAACAAACAAAAAACAAAAAAAAAGAAAACCTCTCCTGCACCTTTGAGTTTCTACACGACTACAGCAAAAATTTCTCAAGAGTTGTCTATTCTCACAGTCTCCACTTTCTCCACACCTATTCTGTCGTCAGCCTACTCCAATGTGGCTTTCATCCCCAACACTCATTAAAACAGCTCTTATCAAGATCACTAAGAACATTTTGCCAAATCCAGTTCTCTGACTTGTGGGTTGATGTGCACTCCCCTAAGATATTGAAGTCTTAATCCCCCAGTACCTACGAATGTGACCTTATTTAGAAATACGGTCTTTGTAAATTAAGATGAGGTCATTACGGTGGGCCCTAATCCAGCATGACTGTCTTAACACAAAGGGGAAATTTGGACACATGTGCACACATGGGGAGAACTCCGTGTGAACATGAAGGCAGAGACTGGGATGATGTACTTACAAGCCAAGGAATGCAAAAGATTGCCAGCAAACCACCAGAAGCTAGGAGAAGGCATGGAACAGATTCTCCTTCTCAACTCTCAGAAGGAACCAACCCTGCCGACACCTTGATCTTGGACTTCTGGCCTCCAGAACTGTGCGACTGTTGTTTAAGCCACCCAGTCTGTGGTCCTTTGTTACAGCAGCCCTAGGATATTGACAATATTTTGTTTCCATGTCTGCTTCCCTAGCTGGACTCTGAGTTCCTTGAGGATGCGATCCACACCTTTGTCATCTTAGTAGGCACAGTGCCTGGTACTCACTGGACCCAGAGAAGGCCATTAGTGTTGTGGACAGACACCTCAGACAAGTCCCCAGGCACCAGAATTACCTCCCAACTCAAAATGTTGCCTCGCTTTTGACCTTTCAAGTCCAGTCTAACCCTTAGCTCCCAAATCCTAACAAGTCCAGTTACTTCATTTTTACCACCTCTGTTTGAACGCAGAAAATCCAGTCTCCTGGGCTTGTTTCTCTTCTCCCTGGGCATCCCCTCTCCCCCAACTCCCCAGCTCTCTCATTCCCACTCCCTCTGGGTGGTTCAGATTTCTACCCCATTTGGCCAAGAAATTTCCTTAACTAAGACTCTTGCCGGTTTCAAGTTCTAACTTTTAAAAGGTCCGTTGGGACTTGCCCAGAACTGCAGTGACACCTCAAAACCACTTAGAAACACAGCAGGTAGGTTATCACTTACTACTGTTATTACTAAAAGTCCCTTGGAAGCCCCACAAAACTTCCCAGCATGAAATATGACTCCACACCGGAGAGCTTTGAAAACTTCTGGGTAAACTGCTTGAACAAGGGTCATGTCACCTCCAGCTTCCACTTGGGGTTCAGTTCTGGGCTACAGCTCTGCTCTAACAACGTAATCGTTGCATGGCATCTCAGGGGTTGTTCCTTCTCTTATGAAATGGGGTTAGTTAAATATCACTAGGCAGTAAACTTCTTAAATGCAGAGAACTATCTTAATTTATCTTTGTAACCCACAGCCGGTTACCTGGTACAGGGCCCAGGGCCCAGCTCCAAGGTCTGTATTCTTTATGAATGGAGGCACGCCACCAGGTAGCACTGGTAACACTGGTAAGCACAGTAAAAGTTTGTTGACAGAATTAACAAATGAGCCATGTCTACTTTCCAGGGTAGTTGCAATGAAAAATGACATCATGTATATTAAAACACTCAAGAGTCAAATAAACCTGGGTTCAAATTCTAGAGCCAAGGCCGACTGGCTATGTCCTTAAGCAAATTACTTAACCTCTCTGGGCTTCAGTTTCTTCATCTGTAAACTGGGGATGATAATACTCATCTGATCAAGTTGTTTTAAGGAAAGATTTAGCTGACACGTGTGAAATGCCTGGTGCACCACACCAGTGCATATAAAAGTTACCATGTGTAGAAACACTACTATCATTATTATCTTCATCTTGTACATCAGATGTTTTAATCTAGACATTTAAACATCAACAAATCTTGAGAATGATAGTTTTGTTTTTCTAAACATCATTTATTAGAAAATACAATTCCAGAGAAAGTAGGAGATAAAGGATGTCTGGGATGTGGGTACAGTACACAGACCTCTCTCTTTAACAGGGGCATAGAGGGTCAAAGTAAAATGAGCTACAGGCAAAAAGCCAGTAACACATCTCTGGTCCATTCATCTAGAGAAGTTCCACCTCTGTTCTCCACTCCCCTAACCCCTGCCCACAGCAGCCAGCTTTATCCTTGACATTTTAAATTTAAAAGTTTCAACTTCCTTGCTGCTCTGTGGCTTCAATGAATGGAGCTTCTTTCTCTAGTTATGGAATGAGTCAGCGAAAGGGGGAATTTCTGATCCTTGGAGCTGGGGAGGGACAGTCCACATCGTATCCCCACTGAACTCCATTCCCCAGTCACCGGGCACAACCAGCCAATTTAGAAAGTTAATATCAAATTCAAAGTCTCTCCTTTTTTCTAGGAAGACAACCTTTCGGAGTAAAGCGCACGAGTGAATTTCAAATCCATTTGGTAGGGAATGAAGAGTATTAAGAGATCAGAGACCCAGTCTCTCCCTTCCAGCTCAGCTCAATCCAGCCTCCTCACAACCAAAGAAAATCACTGGCAAAAACAACAGTTTTGATGGGATCCCCCACCCGCACCCCTTTTCTTCAGCTGGGGCATCCCTTTGGCTCCAGACAAAATAGGTTTATGGCCCCATAGAATGAGAGAAATTCTTATTAAAAAAATGTGACAGAAATGGAGTTTGGGAGAGAAGCAGCAAAACAAAAGGAGTGGTGGATGACGAGGAAAGCTTCCCAGAAACCACCCAACAGCCAGCCACGTTGACGTCTGCAGCTTAGAGGCCCATTCCTAGGGCCAAGACACCCTGGGGTGAAACCAAACCTAAGGGCCGAGGCAGCAGCTTACCCCA